TTCTATGAAGTGAAAAAACTTTTATAAAAACGATGGATATAATGGTTTGGGGGCTTCACCTATTATGGAACAGGTCTCCAATTTCTGATCGAGGGCACCATGGATGCCTTATAATATACTAGGATTTTAAGTGAACCATGTTACCTTACGCGGGTTTAATATGCCCCTTCAATGGGTGTTTCAACAAGATAATAACCCGAAACACACAACGAACCGGGCAAAGGAATGGTTCAGGCAATATGGCATCGAAGTTTTAAACTGGCCCCCGCAATCGCCAGATCGTAATACGATAGAAAATTTATGGTTTAACCTCATACCAGGCTCTAGGAGACCTAAATCCATCGAAAAAAGCCGATATTTGTAGGCTAGTGAAAGACGTATGGGATATAATTCCAGCTGTCATGTGCCAGAATTTAGTGAATTCTATGTCCAAAAAACGTTGCTCAACAGTTCTAAAAAACAATGGATATTAAAGTAACATTTATTTATTATTATTTATTCTTTGCATTGATTATTTCTTTAAAAAATACAGATTTCATATCACCGGAAACAAACAAATTTAAATAACGTCTTCTGGCTCTATATCAAGGCACAGCCAAAACGGAATGAGTTTTGAATATTTTTTTTTGTATGCTAGACTTAAAACCTTTAATTAATATCTTAATAAGTATTCCTTGCGTTATTTCTTTTTTATGAACTAAAACAAAAATTATTAATAAAATAAAATCACTTGAAATTTATTGATTTAAAAAATATTTATAGTGCCGGCTCTATTTCATCGCACATCACTGTATAAATATATATACATGACATGCATACATACATATACATATATATATATATATATATATATACCAGAGATTCAGATATGAAACTTTTTTATGCAATCCGTTAATAGTATTTACATATATAATTTATTTACAAAAAACACAGACTGTTGTATATTTATTGTAAATCTAAAATAAGCTTAACAAAATATTAGTTTATAGTGATTCTTTTACTAGACGAAAAGCCTAACTGCATTATAACATTGTAATCACAACAATTATTAAAATTTGAGATGAAATATTATATTGGGGCAATAGTAATACGTATTTTTTGTAACGGCATAAAACATTCCTTAAGTAGTTTGAAGAATGATACCAAATAATTACTGGGGCAATTAGATTAGAATAGCGTTTTCTCAATTATTTTCATGAATTTTATTGTCTATCAAAAATTAATATCTTTTATCCCTTATGTTAGTAAACAACTTTACTGACGTCTTTTAGCAACCGGGTACCGGGGTACCCACGATCTGAGTATTATTATTATTTTGTTTATTTTATTAAAAAAAAAAATTCTAAAAAATTTTTTTCTTCAAATATTAATAGTCAGTGACAATAAAAAGAGAAAAAACATAACAACGTAGAATAAAAAAAAAAAACAAATAAAAAAACAAAAAAAAACAAATAAAAACAAAAAAAAAAAAAAAAACAAATAAAAAAAAAAACAAATAAAAAAAAATAAAAATAAAAAAAAAAATGAACTCACAAATAGCTTTCTTTTAAGTTAAAAAACGACGATTTGAGAGCTTAAAATGAAATATTGAATTTTTTTTAAGCTATTCACACAAATACATCGCGGTGGGTACCCGGTTACTAACATAAGGGTTATTGTAACATTTACAACAATTTATACATACACTGGTGGCAAATATAATAGGGACAGATTTACTCCAAAGCCTAACAAACTTTTTACCAACATAAGTTTGAATCACTTACCACTTAGCAATGATGCTTGATAACAGTACTTTCTGTTTATTTCGTTTTCCGTCAATTATTTATAGTATGTCGGCGTAAATGCTATTTTATTTGAGTTGACAACGTGTTGAGCTGGCAGAAATAATAGACACTCACCGTAAATTTGTTTAAAAAGTAAAATTTTTAATCAAAATATGTAAAAAAAAACATGTTGTTTTTTAATGCATACATAAATGATAAATAAATAAATAATTTTCTAGGTTTGAAATTTGAGTATGATAGAAAGAAAAATTAAAAATGGGTCGCAAAGTACATTGTAAGACTTTTGAACGGCAAATGATGGTGAAACCATACAAGAAAGGGAAAAGTAACAGAGAAATATCAAATATCATGGATTATTCCAATAAATTGTTCTTTAATACCCTTCACAATTAACAAAAAAACCGATATTAAAGAAGAGAAGAGCAAAACCTTAACTCGTTTCAGCTAAATGTCATTTAAAACTTCCAACGACTTGAAAACGGAATTGAATGATGCAGAATCTGAAATCAAACGAAAATGGTATTTAATTTTAAAATATGTCTCTCTCTTTAATATGAACATAAAAGTCATAAAAAATTAGAATCTGCAAAAAAAAATTAATAAATAATGATGATATTCCAATTCTAGGTTTATATAGGGCGCAAGACTATGAAGAAAGTAACTGATAAAAAATAAGCAACTGGTTGAAAACAGGTTAAGCTAGTGTACGAAAATTCGTTTTGTTGCAAAAAAGCCAAAAAAACGCATTTAAAAAAATAATAGACACTTAAAGGACTGAAAGAGAGCTACTCAATTTAATGGGTTCCAGCAATATAACAGATTATTTTATTTTAAAATTCTCATTTTAATCTAAGTGTCACATGCAGACAACAACGATACGCCATTTTTTAACAAAATTACTGTACACAAATACAAGATTAAAAATCGGCTTTTTTTATTGAGAAATTATTTGCTCGCCTCTAGAAAATTTTAAATGTATAGTAATGTATATTTAGATACATACGCAAATGATTTCTGATAGAGAAATTAAGAGCGTATTATCTACACATTTTAAATAATTTTTCAATACTTATTACTTTAATTTACATAACTGAAAGGAAATTGACAACCATTTTTTTTACTTACTTTGCCATCAACCACAACCCGTATGATGCCGTCATTTTATTCAAATCATGTCGCCACCACATCACCGACCGCACCACCATTTTCTTGGTTTTCCCTTTTTCTTTCGTATTATCGTGACTCACGACAGCTTTCGCCGACACGATTGCATGCAAGTATGTAAACCCGTTAATAAATGGCGAATGGCTGCGTTGTCGACGAGATAGAACATTGCACAAGGTACCTACACATATACATTCGATATAGCCCACAAATGTACACTGCTTTCATTAGCGAACCGCCCTCAAACAAAAAAAAACAGAAAGAAAGAGCCTTCATTTGCTTTGTTGGCATTGAAAGAATGAGAGAGAGATGCCAACACTTAACCCAGGTGTGGCTTGAAAAAACCAAGAGAAATAGTTAGTGTACTATTTCGATGCTCTTCTAGTGGATTTGCTTAAACGCTCTCTTTAAAAATGAGGCGAAAATATTCGCTCTTATTTTACTCACCAAAAGCAAGACAAATAATAGACAAAGTGGCAGAAAAAACACCTTACACCTTCTGACATGTGGTGAGTTTTCGTATATTTGTTGCGAATGCAGTGAAAAGGGAGACAGTGTGAAAAAGGTAAATTTATTAAGAAGCTATTCAAAACATATGGAACGATGATTTACTAATACCGTTCAAAATAAACCATGTTGAGAAAAAACAGTAGAATGTAAAAAAAATCTAATTAGGATACGCTGAAGTAGTGATTTGCTAACTTAATCTTTGCATTAATTTAATACAGAGTTATCTATGCATGAACCTGTTCTTAGCGCTTACAGTAACTCAAAAAATTACTCATTACACAATAAGGGCGATTTTTGAGAAAACAAAAAAACTACTAAATCAATTGTTTTAAAATTTTAAGGGTATATTTGTACATATTTTATGAATACACAGTAAAATTTTTGAATAAAAAAATAAGTAACTTTTGAGTTACACGCGGTCTCCGAAGTCGCTAAAATAAAAGTCCTTCGCTGGTGCAGTGTTTCCGGCCTTCTCCATGGATGAAAGCTAAAAAACAAAAAAATTCTATCGAAGATATTGTCAGTAGAATGACGTACGGTTGAAAAAAAAAAAACAAAACAAAAATTGACAACATGACGGAGTTTCAAGCAAAAAAGTACATTTTTTACCCAAATTTTTGACCGTTTATGAGCTGCCAAAATTCGATTTTTGATCAGAAAACTTATAGATCATTGTATTGAAAACTATGTACATACATATGTATATACAGAATATGCCAAAAAATTGTAAGGCTATTGAAGGGATCATTTGTCTAGGCGCAATCACTGCAGCCAGTTTCAAAATTGTTGCTTTGAGAAAAACGAGTTTAAAGGTAAACTGATAGTGCTCATTGAACTCCAAAAATATTTGCAAATTCATTTAAACATTTTTTATGTTGTATAGACTATCAAAATATGCTAAAACTAAAAAAATATACAAATTTCACACTAGGTGAGCCCTTTGAAACTCGTTTTTCTCGAAATTGCATTTTTAAAATCGCACACTTGATTTTTAATAAACAATGTACTGCTCATTTTTTCTTTAAAAAATTTAAAATTTTTTACAAGTTCGGCGTTTTGTAAAATATAAAGCTTTGAACATAAGTTCCATACTAGCAAGACTTATGAAGAAACCCTTTTTAGCCTAGTAGCTAAATCAAACTGCCAATATAAAATTTTTTATACCCTCGAATGCAAGTAACAAAGGCTGAAAGAGAAAAATTCGATTACTTTTTCTTTACTCACAAAATAAATTGTCAAATTTTCCTTTTTTGAGTGCCTTAGGCTGGTCTAACTCCTTAAGTATATCTAATTTTAAAAAATAAGACTGCTGCAGGCCTCTAACTACACGACTTATCATAATCGATTTTCAGGCACTATATTAAAAATTGCAAACGTAAACTTTAATAAAATGTACTTAAAAAAAACAAACATGAAAAACTTTTAGAGTCACTGTAAGCGCTTAGCAAATAGTGCTCTGTCTTATCTATGCATACGATTTTTGCATTGTTGCTGGCACGAGCTTTTAATAAAAATTGGCCGAGACGCCCATTAGCATTTGATTTTGTGTTTTGATCGTCTACTGTGCGGTCGATCGTTAAAAAGATATTGTTCACAAGTGTTACGAGCGCGTCGCCGAATGTGCATAAAGTTAGCTGATTACTCGGAGAAGCAATAATAGAGAGTGTAAATATTTATGTTAATCAACGAATTAATTCTCAGCTAACATACATATAAACTATTTTGAGAAGTGAAAATGTGCAAGAAAATATACAAGAAAAGAAAACATGTTTGTCATTGTTTACAATCAATGTGTCAAGCAGTGCTGTGAGATAATTGACAAGCGGTGGACTTCGGAGAAAATTTGTGGAACTTACTAACATCTAACTTAAACTTAATATTACTGCTCATCACTTACTAAATAAATATTGCGCGCAAATATTCAACTAATTTTTTTTCTTTTTAATTAATAAAGAGTATGACCTTTATATAAATTAGTATTTGAAATATGTTGTATTTTAAAAACATAAACAAATACCGTTTGGTAACTCAAAGTCGAGGTACATATATACGTGTTGTACATTTACATATTATATAGTGCCGAGCGTCTAGCTTTTATGACAGATTTGCATACGCTTACCATAAAATTCACCTTGCACTCGCATGTTAAACACCTGATAATGTGGAAATGTAGAGTTTATTGCTTTCATAATGCACCCGAATAAATTAAACCAAATACCAAATGAGTGTTTCTATGCGTAATTAACTAGTTGGTAGTTGTGCATATCAAATTAGTTATCTTTTATTAATGGAAACGTTTCCTGAGATGATAAGTAGGCATATAATGTACAGGTTGGTTGAAGAGTTTCTGCTCTCACCAAGAAATAGCATTACTAGCTCTAAATTTTGCTGTCTCAAGTTGGTATATCTGTCGTGAGAACACATGCTAAGTTACAAGTCATTCAATTGTCAATTGTCAATTAATTCTTTATTCCCAAGCCAATTAAAGTTGACGTGTCAGGGTATTCTGTTAATATGGAAAAAATTGAATATCGCGCAGTGATTAGATTTTTTGTTTTGAAAGGTTTGAAAGCAAAGGAAATTTATGAACAATTGTTAGGAGTGTATAAGGAGTTCCCACCTTCAAGGCGCACAGTTGAATTGTAGGCTGGTGAATTTAAACGTGAACGTACTAGGCTTGAAGAGGTTTCACGCGAAGGACGACCAAAAACCACAACCACAACAAAAATCATTTAGTGAATATATTTTAGTGAATATATTGTTAGTGAAGATCCAAGGTTGATTAAGAGAGAAATTGCTAATGCCATAGACATCTCAGACGAACGAGTACTTCATATATTACATGGAGTATTATATATGAAGAAGCACATTGGAAAGTTAGTGCTGCACACGTTAACAATTCAACAAAAACTGGATCGAAAACAAATTTTTCAGCATAATTTGGAGCGTTTTAAGCAGAATGAAACCGATTTCTTGCGTCGTTTTATAACTATGGATGAGACTTGGATCTACTACTATGATCCTGAATTGAAACAAAAATGTTTACAGTGGACCGAAGCTGGTTGTTCAGCTCCAAAGCAGGTGAAGTCACAACAATCAGCAAAGAAAGTTAGGGCATCAATTTTTTGGGCAATTAAAGTAACGAATTGCTTGAGCATACACCGTACTCACCAGATTTGGCTTCCAGCGACTACTACCTCTTCAGTCGAATTTTCGTCGAATGAATAAGTTAATACAACCGTAGACGGGTATTTTGCAGAGCTTTCGGAAAGTCATTATAGTGATGGCATTAAATTATTGGGGGATCATTGAAATAAGTGTATTGAAGTTAAGCGAGATTATATTGAATAAAAAAATATATTTCGTACCAAAACCAGTATTTTCTCATTTCGTGCGCAGAAACTTTTCAACCAACCTGTATGTATATGCACATTAGGGCGGACGTTAAGAGGTTTCTGGGTGTATTTTGTTTGTTTGTATGCAATCTTCTGGTTCTAGATATCGATATTGTTGTGTCAGATTTAAAAAAAAATCTAAAAGGAAGGGCTAACTCCGGGTGTGAGCGAACATTTTATACTCTTGCAACTTTCAAGAATCAAATGCATTCAGGTGCTGGCAAAACGTTATATTAAAACATGTTCCGAAAGATTTAAACATCCATTATTCGAAGAAATCGTGAATAAATTACAATCCAATTTGGTATCTTCTTGACTCAGACCATTAACTTGAACTCAATTTTAATGCTATATTTTAGTTCGCGTCAGCTAAAATTATATTCAAAATCACAAATGAGCTACATGTAATATCAACTCAGCCGAAGAGGCTAAATTTAATATATATTGATTTAGCTAACCATTCGTCCCGGTTTGGCCGGGACAAATATGGTCACCTAAGTTTAGACTAATTCCATTTTAATTCAACGCTAAACCATATATAATTTTAAAGAAAACTTGTACATTTAATTTCATTAAAATATCACACAATTTCACCAACCTGAACGGTTTAAAGTTAGGTGAATAGACGGCAATCATTATATGGAATATATTCGGAATAAAGAAAGGGTCGGGCTGATTGCATTATTTTGGACATTGCTAAGGTATACTTGAGAACATATTTTCATTTTTTAAATATATAACTCACACACTGAACGACATACGAGTATTCACCATAAAACTTGTTAGAAAAAATTGACCCAATTTTATCTGTTTTTGCTAATACAACATACTATTAACAGGCCTCGTATAAATAAAATCATCCTTGGGTTTCATTATGGTATCTCAGATACGATCACCAATCAATATGGAGTAAAGTCAGCCGGATGTTCAAACATTTTGGTATTACTTATATAGGGACTAGGTCAATTTTTGACTCAAATTTAGGCACAAAGATGCACTATTATGAGGAAAACAAGTTCTCTCATTTTTATTGAGATAACTCACATATTGGTCGATATATGCGGTATAAAGTCACCCGGAAAATTGAAAATCTTTACATTAGCTATATGGGGGATAAGATTCTCTTCAAATTTCAATTATATACATAACTCACACATTGACCGATATTTTTAATAAAAAGTCAACTATGTGCACCGGGGTCCACATGTTCGGCACCTAGGGGTTTGAACCGTTTTGATTCGATTTGGACATAAGATATCACATTTCAAAAGTATTATTCGTGTAAAGTTCTAACCCGTTTTATTCATTGGTGTTTTATTTCTATACTGGAATGTGAAAGAATCAGATGGAATTTAAAATAGTGTTATATGCGAAGCAACCCTGGTTTCAGTCCAATTCGATCCATTTTCGCAGTGTAACATAGGAATATCAGAAGAATGATATGTACCGAGTTTGGTTAAAATCGGTCGAGCAGGTCTCGAGATACGTGATTTCAACTAAAAGTGGGCGGTGCCACGACCATCGTTCAAATTTGACACCTACAGCTATAAAGCCCTCTTGTGCCATCCTATATATGTATAATTTAATGTCTCCGAAGCATTTAGTTATTGATTTAACACACTTTTAATAATTTTTAACAAAACCGTTATATGGAGAGTGGGCGGTTTGGACACTATCGTAAGAGGGTTGAAAAAATTTGTTCACTTTTTAAAGATTTTCAAACCGCAGACGCCCCTCCTTAATGTGATTCGTTGTGCCAAATTTGTGTTCTCTATGTCTATTTACGGCTTGGTTATGGCACTTTATACGTTTTCGATTAATGGTGTTTTGTGGGCATGGCAGTAATCCGATTACGTATGGACGCTCCTCGCTTTTCTTACCAAAGAACACGTGTACCAAGCTTCATTAAGACATCTTAATTTTTACTAAAGTTATTGATTGCACAGACAAAAAAATTTAATTTTGGCGATCAAAAACCATCTAATTTTTTTTTAAAATTCGAAATTTTTTTCAAAGTCTGTCATTTTGTTAGAACTCAGTTTTTTTTTAACAATATTGGTCGTTGTATAGGCAATATCAAACAGAATAAAAATCTTTTTTTTCAACCACGGTGAAGGCCGCAATCACTGCAGCAGTTTAGTAACTTCGGAAATATCAAATAATTTGCTATAAATATATATCCTTTATTAATTTTTGGTATATATGTATATATTCATTAAGTACATAATCGTATGTACACATAAATATATCCTTCACAGTTGAAATCATTTAATACAGTACTTAAAAAAAAAACAGTAAAAAAAAAATTGCCTATTTCTATTTTTCAATCTGATAATAACAAAAAATTGTTTGGCGGAGGACCTTCCCGTTACAATTAAGAGCTCATGCTTGGGAGAAATTTTCTTAAAGATGTCTAAGAACCTAGTTTTCAGCGTACCAAGTGGAAAAAAAACATTCATTTTTTTTTTGACCAACCCAAATGTATATATATATATATATATGTATTTAGTACATTTGCTATTTAGAAATTGTTTAATAATTGTGTTTTGATAGAAGCGCCATTAAAAAATTAAGCAAGCGCGTACTATTATTTCTTGCTTTACATTCAAAAAGTTTTCAAAGGCATACAAATCATATAAATGACCGACTAAAAAACTGTGAACTTCGTGTTTACTTCTATTTGTTTATTATTTGTAAATAAATTTTAATGAAAATATAGATAAACCGCGTGCATAAGTTGAAGCGAAAAACTTAACGTAAAGAGCGTCAAATCTGTATTGCCGACGGCAAACACGAATGTTGCACCGTTGCTGGAAGCCGTGTTACCGGCTGCCTGCCAATATGGCGCACACACGACATTTTTTTTGTGTTTTGATTCGTGCTGACTTGAGACTTCGATGCCGTCTTCTCCATTTTTCTATCTTTTATTTATGCATGGGTATATGCATATACATATGTCTGTATGGAAGTATGTATGTATGTACAATTATATGAGATAATGAGGTAGGGTAGCGAGGGATGCTTTCTCCATAATGCTATATGAACGTTGATGATTTTATAGTGGATTATTTAAATAGTCACATATACATACATATGTATGTACATAGGCCAGCACATAGCTACTCATAGTAATGTATAACTCTCTTTACGGCATATATTGTACATACTTACTGCCTGCAGCCGAAGCCACTAAAAGTTCTTTTAAGAATAGGAGATGGAAGATCTTTTACATAGATAATGCGTACACTTACTTTTGTAATGTCTTCTGTTCAGTGCTTGCATACAGAGGGAATTTAGTTTTAATGTAATTTATTATTATTATTATTATTAAATAATGGTTTTGCATTTCATTAAATTGCGACTAGTTAAAGGCATTATATTAACAAGCAATATTTTTCAAAATTTATAAGATAAAACTACAAACGCTATTAGGAAGCTTTTTTTAAGAAACAAATTTTAGGTCTGAATTATTTGATTAATATGCAATATACAGTTATAATATATTAATAGCAGTGCAAGTGGGGATATACTTTAACGGGGTCGTCTACTTCGCGTTGGAATTTCTCAACTGTTTTTGACGTTGAATCAAAAGTCTGACAAAATGGCAGCGATTTAATAAAAAAGCATTTTTATACCTTCGCAACATGTTACTACAGAGTATAATCGTTTTATTCACCTAACGGTTGTTTGTAACACCTAAAACTAATCGAGTTAGATATAAGGTTATTTATATATAAATGATCAAGAAGACCAGACAAGTTGAAATGACTGTCTGTCTGTCTGTCCATCCGTCCGTCCGTCTGTAAAAGCGATAATTTCTACGAAAGTATTATCAAGCTACCTAAAAATAAAAAAAAACTGAAAACATGTGCACAAAAAGGTAGACAGACGAATTAACTGACCGAAAAATCATTGCATTCTTGCGGATTTTTAAATTCAAAAATTTAGGGTTAAAAATTAAAAATTCCCGATGTTGGGATTAAAAATTAAATTTTAATTTTTTAATGCAAGATGTTTGGTATTAAAAATTTAAAATATTACTTTTCTCTTTGAATGAGCTCGAAAAAATGTTAGTTCTAAAGCAAATTCTTCTTTTTTAATTCTTAATTATATGCTTAAGAATGGATTTTTTTTTAATTCGGTAGTTGGGATTTATTTTAATTTTATTTGAAATAAAATTCCATAACTCGAAAACACTAAACAAGAACAATTGATTTGTACAAAATATATAAGTTTTGAATTTATATATCGAAAATTGTTTGTGTTTATTTCTCGAGTTCTCGAGTTGAACGGAGACATTCTTTTTTTTACTACATAGGTGTGCGTTAGGCATGTTACCATTTTCAAAAATGATTAAAGAAATTCCAAAACGCTTAAATCGATATTCCACAAGAATAATGATATAAAACTAAAACATATCAGTAAGATAGACTAAGCAAAGTTAGTGATGTGTAAAGAGAATAAAGTGAGGTTTTACTATCGAATGCTTGCAGTTGAATGTTTAGGTTATGTTATGGGATTAATTTTCGCAGCAAGAATTGCGAAGGATCCCAATTGGGCAGCTGTGAACCATGGTCCTTACTGATAACTTGCAGCTGCACTATTTTCAGTTTTTAAATTGCACTCCTTGATACATGGTTTTAGTTACATTTTTTCCAATTACCTTTTCTTATATTTAGCAAAAAATAGCATTATTTAAACACACTTCCAATTATTACATAGATAATGTCACTTGGACGAATAGTAAAATTACAAGCTCTGATAGCAAAGCCTCTGCGTAGAGCTTATTCAGCAGCTGGGAGTCCAGAATTAACCCAGGTAAGTACAAATTTGTTAACAAATAACTATATAAATTAAATTTCAAAAATAAAAAATCTTCTCACATCAGAAATATAAAAACAGATACCAGATACGAAACTCGGCTTAACTCAACTTTAGTTATGTGAGATTTTTGTTAATAAACGGTCCAAATATTTTGGGGTTGTTCAATGAAGTAATATGACATTTGTAGTTCAAGTGTTAGGACAGTTAGGGATTTTCAAAAAAAAAAAAATATTTATTTGTTGGTCACTTAGTGTCCTAAAATGACATAAGAACTCTAGTAGGAGTGAACAGGTCACTGTCTAATGGTAGACATGCCAGCAGACTAGGTGCACCATACAATGACTATTGCAGAAGCGGAGGTAGAAGAAGAGGAGACTGTAAACCATCTTCTATGCGAATAAATGGCTCTATACAGGAAAAGAATCGCAACTATCGGTCAATGGTTTTTCGACGACGTCTCGGAAGTTGCTCACATAAAACTATTTGTACTGATGAACTTTAGCCGAAGCACGAGTTGTTTCAGAGAGGAGATAATAGAGTGAGGGAGCATTAGTTCCAATGGGCCTCATATATGCTTAAGTGCGTCGTCAGACAGTCACTCTAGCTACCTAACTAGGGTTCTAAAACATTATTATTATGATGGAATAGTGTAGTAGTGTCGTACTATTACTAAAATAATCTTACATTATCTACATAATTTGTCAAAGAAGCGATAAAAGAAGATAATCAACCAGTCAATGTAACTAATAAAATAAGAGTCCCAATAACAAATCTCACACTTTGAAAACTTTTTTTTTTTTTGAGTTTGCTACAAAAATTATAATCAACATCTTTCTAATTGTTCAAAAAATATAAACAACGTTGGGAAATAATATATCAATGTGTAAATGATATAATTAAAATAATATACACTATAACAGAGTATCGATTAATGCTTTTGTTGTAATTTCATTTCGCTTCGTTTTGTAAACGATTAGCTTATGTTAATATGAAGAAATGTGTGTAGAATTCTAAAGATATGTATTCATTAGCTAAATTGCAGACAAAAATCATAATGTTCAATTATTTTGTCAGATTCGTCACAATGTGAAACGCAGCGACTACGCCAACTTAGTAGACAAGGACATTGCATTCTTTGAGTCCATTGTTGGTAAACGTTACGCACTACAGGAAGACTTACAAGCTTACAATGTGGACTTTTGGCGTAGTGTGCGAGGTATGTTTCCTGTGCCCAACTAATTATACAGTGATTGTCTGATAGGTCTAACAATGCATTTTTATTCGAGATTTAAAATTTTTAGTAGCATTTTGTTAATAAATAACTAAATTTTTTTTTCAAATTTGTATGTATTAGAAACGCGTTAAAATTTTATTCATTCCGATTAATCAGAACATATAACTAGGTTGGTTCAAAAAAAAAGTATTTACTCATAGCTAGAGGAAACATTCTCTCAAGCAAAACTATCGATAGTCCGACCACTCGATAGTTTCGATAATTTAAAAAAAATACTATCGATATTAACGATAGTTTTTCCGTTAAAATCTACTTACTTTTTACTGGTTTTAATTAAGAGACCTTTGCTTTGTACAGTTAATTTGGCATTTCAAAAAATTAGAAATTCTTACCTAATTGTAAATATTTCCATAATATTCCTTCTAACTTATTTAACTCATAATTAAACTGTAAAAAATAGTGAAATTTATTAACTTGTACATTATTTCAAAAATTTAAATCCACAATCGCGCAGCCAAGCAATGAATGAAAAGATGATTTTAAGTGCTACCATGTTATCCAAAATTAAATTTCACTTTTGGCATTACTAGACTAGATCAAATTGTAGCTATTTATGGTATATTAAGTAAAATTTTGCAGTTTTATGAAACGTTTGGTAAGTCTAGTTAAGGCATAAACCAGCAATAGTCAAAATAAACTATCGCTAGTGAGACGAAAATAAAACTATCGATAGTTCCATCGATTGTTTTGCAGCTCTAAAAAACAAAAAAAAAAACCTTAACTTCGGTTGCACGGTTCACAGATGCATTCCTTATAGCATAACAGGGCATAAAAATACCATTATATTAATACTGATTGTTCAGTTCGTATGACAACTATATGCTATAGCGGTCCGATATCGTCGGTTCCGATAAGTTATCAGCTTCTTGGGGAGAAAAGAACGAAATTTCAGAGAAGAAAATTTCAGATCGATATCTTAAAAACCGAGCGATTAGTTCGCGTATGTATAGACAAACGGAGGCGGCTAACTCAACTCAACTCGTCACGCTGATCATTTATATATAATACATACATACTTTATAGAGCATCCGACATTTCCTTCTGGGTGTTACAAACTTCATGGCAACTGTTCAGAGTGTAAAAATATATGATTTTTATATAAACTTTGCCAGCCAATTTCCTACTACATATCCCACTAATCATTCTAAAAACTGTTTTAATATCACATGACTTGCTCTTAATAACACTATCATAATTATGAGAATACTTCTAAATACTTAGCCAAAATTGAAATACTTCGAAATTAAGTTTAATTACTTATTAAAGTCACATTAATGACTTATTGTGTGTGAACTTATTTCTTTAATCAAGAGTGTAAATTCAAAAAATTAATACCGCACAACTATAGGTAACAGCAAATTGGTGCTAAAACCCGGTAACACACAGGAGGTTTCTGCCATTTTAAAATATTGCAACGAGCGTCTGTCCGCAAGGTGGCAACACCGGTGTGGTGGGCGGTGCGGTGCCCGTATTCGATGAAATTGTTTTATCGTTGACGCGATTAGACAAAATTCTGCATATTGATGAAATCACTGGCATAGCAGCATGTGAGACGGGTTGCATTTTGGAGAATTTGAATAACAAAGCGCGAGAATTAGATTTGGTAGTGCCCTTAGACTTGGGTAGCAAATCTAGCTGTCACATTGGTGGTAATGTCTCCACCAATGCCGGTGGCTTGCGTGTAGTACGCTACGGCAATCTACATGGCAGCGTGTTGGGTTTGGAAGTGGTGAGTAATAAATTGCTTATCATATAATATATATACAAGTATGTATGTGTATATATATAATTTACTTGCTTAGGTGCTGGCGAATGGTGAAATTTTAGATTTAATGTCAGACTTTAAAAAGGACAACACAGGCTATCATTTGAAGCATCTTTTCATTGGCGCAGAGGGCACTTTGGGTGTGGTGACTAAAGTGTCGCTTTTGTGTGCGCCAGCGCCACAAGCACAGCACTTGGCCTTTTTGGGTAATTTATGAAGTCTGTCCCATTATTTATATATTCTATAACAGCATGTGGTTTTTAAGGTTTGCCCAACTTTGATGCTGTTCTCAAAACTTTCAAAAGCGCCAAACGAAGTTTAGGTGAAATTTTATCGGCTTGCGAAATGATTGATGCGCCAACGCTGCAGGCCAGTTTCGAACATTTTAAACTCAAGTATGAGCATCAAAACTTATATATTTATATATATAGCATATTTTAAGTAATAATTATGTAATATATTTTTTTTAGCTCACCAATTGAAGGTTTTCCATTTTATATGCTACTCGAGACATCTGGCAGCAATGGCACATACGATTTGGAGAAAATTAATAAGTTCGTGGAAATCGGCATGGAAAGGGGTGAAATTATTGATGGTATCATAGCGGGTGAGGCGTAAAATGCAGGAAATTTGGAGGCTGCGAGAGCTGGCACCGATGGCTTTAACCAAGGACGGCTATTGCTTTTACTATGATCTTTCGTTGCCGCTACGGCATTTCTATAGTATAGTGGAGGTAATGCAGGAACGTATAGGACCGCTGGCGACTAGAGTCACAGGTTTTGGACATTTGGGTTGGTACAATTTTATACCCTGAACAAAGTATATTAAGTTTGCCAAGAAGTTTCTAATACTCAGAAGAAAATGTCGGAGACCTTAAAATGTATATATGTACATATGTATGTATATAAATGATAAGCGTGACGAGCTCAGTCGATTTAGGCATGTTCGTCTGTTAATACACGAACTAGTCCCCCAGATTTTGTGATATCGATCTAAAATTTTAACTTACCGTTCAAAATAAAATTTTTGTTTGGAAACTTTTTTTTTTGTAAAGTGTATTATACATAGTTTCGGTTGAACCGAAGTTAATGTTTTTTCTTTTCTTTTTGATTTTAAAGAAGTTTTTAAACACTCTTTTTCATTTTATTTCTTATTTGTTTTTGCTTTGTAGGCGATTCGAATTTACACTTGAATGTCTCTTGTTCGGAGTATACCGACGACCTACACCACATGATTGAACCTTTTATTTACGAGTATACCCACAAGCTGAAAGGCAGCGTAAGCGCTGAACACGGCATTGGTTTTAACAAAAAGAATTACTTAAAATATAGTAAATCACCGGAAGCGATTGCAATGATGCGTGATATGAAAAAACTGTTGGATCCTAAGGGTATATTAAATCCATATAAGGTGTTGAATTAATATCGAGATTTTATAACTGTGCCATGTGTATATTACATAAAACAAAAAAATAAATAAACATAACCTCCAAATATGCGTTTATAGTAACTTATCAGTTATTTTTTCTTTGTTAAACATATTCACATGCATACACACATACATAACATTTATTTACCTAAAGAAGAAACTCAATGCTATTCGCTTAAATAGTTTTCCTCGACTACAGCAAATGAAAACCTTACTCTTTCGCCGGTCACATGATCTACCAATGACTACAAATACAAGCAGCAGCAGCACAAAGTAATCGAGCACCAAACATGCCGTCGCTTTTTTATGTCACTGTGAAAAGTTATATACATAGGTGCGTAAATTATGCCGGTCCGATGGGTGTGGCTTTCCAATTTTGCTAAGAGAAAGCATTTTGAAAACCAATTCTCTTCAAATATTTAAATAGCTCCACTATTTCCATAAGTAGATTCTCGCAGAAATAGAAATATTCAACTCACTCTGGTGAGTATGTGCTATGCCACAACTATGGTGATAATTCTATTTATTGTTTATCTAGCGAAAAATGGTGTAAAGCGAACGAGCAATAATACCCACACGCGCCGCTATACAAAATTTTTTTGTACGAAACAACAAAAATGTTAGCAAAATTGTTCAAATGGTCAAGTAGTAGAGAGTTGCCACTAGATGCAAAATGAAAATAGAGGAAAACCCGAACAAGGCTGGTTGAAAAAATTTAATTAAATAAATAAAGTATGCCTAATTAGACCAGGACTAATCTATTTACACGCAAAATCCATACAACCGTTTTTTTTTTGATTTTTTGGTACAATTTTTTTTATATTCGTGTGATGTTTATCCTCCATATGTCAATAAATGTGTGTTTGCAGCTGTTTGTTTACGACGCTAAAAGTTTGTCTGACAACAAACTGACAGTCTGACAAGTTTGCTTAAAAATTGTCTGTTTCCAAGATAATCAAGGTTACGGAATCGTTGATAATATTGTAGAAGTGCCTTGGGGAGTATACTTTATCACGAACACAAGTTTTTGAGTGGCACAAAGCTTTTTCGGTTAATGTTTCGGATATGAAGCGTATAGAACTAAACTCGTACCAAAACACCTGAATCTTTTGCAAAAACGACGTCGAGTAGTGGTCGAAAAAAGATGCTTGACAACGTAGCTGTGGACCAAAAATTCAACTACATTCATAAAATGAAATCTTTACCATCTAGTAAAAAAAAGCGGCGAATGAAGCTCCAAAAATGAGCTTAAAGCGAAAACCTAGGTTTAAAACGAATATAAGAAAGATTGGGTTAAGCGATGGCATGCTTGATTTGGCTCAGTAAGCTATTTTGAGGGCGTCAATAAAGATTTATATAAAAATACGTGTAAATGTGTTTGGTTTTTTGTCAGTCCAGGTCATATTTGATCAGATGGTACACATGTAATTTTAAGACATCACAACCTTTTCTTAAATTGTTTTTGACGATTTGGAAAAAAAATTTCAACAAAATAGTACATTTTGAGAAAATTTATAAATATAATGGATTTTAATTTATAAAAAAATATTTATCAATTTTCTCGAACAATTTTTCTCAAGCCTCAAATAGAATTATATAGAAACTAAACTATTTTAAGAACACCAATAACTAAATCATACCAAATGGCAACTCTTGTTTAGCTAAATTCTGTTTTATCATAAATAATTATTTGTCCACTAAGAATAGCTGACTGACGAACAAACGCATATGTGTTCTTATTTGATTTGCTTATAGTAAAATACTGTAAAGCCTATATTAGATGGGTTTTGAAATGTATTAAAATGTGGAGTTGTCACATAAATTAATATTTTAGTACAATTAGAATTTAAATTAATGTAGAATAAGCACAAAGGAGCACAGCCCTATTGCAAGTACGAACATTTTAATAACTGTTGGTATTATCTAGTAACATAATTTTTTTTATACTTGAACAGTTGCTTGAATAACTAATTGAAATTTGTTTAATTTTACTGGCTTCACTGTATTTATGTATACATATGTGTATTTATTTTTCGGCTACACTTGTTCGTATTTATGGAGTTTATATAATAAAATATAAGACTAACACTTACGGAATAATCGATTATTAGCTTCATGTGCTTTCAACTGCTTCATTTTAATACTACTTGAAATATGATTTTAAAAAAGTTTTTAAAAAGCTTTAAACATTAGTATAATAAATTCCCTTTATTTTATTCGATTACACTTGTCAAAAACTTATTCTCGTAAAAGATAATTGTAATCGATCTTACAAAATAATTATCGATTATTGTAAATTATCGCCATAGATTTCACGCTGACTATTTTAATGAGTTTGTCGTTGTTTTTATCACACATTTTCTTCTATGTTCTATTCTCATCATATTATAATTCGCTTGATTTCACTACTTCACAGCTGAGGAAAGACGGCCTTTGGTTGAATGCGCAAAAATTTCTATAGTCGAACGCAGCCATTGAACGGTGTGACTTGCTTTTGTTTTGTGTTTTTTTCGTTAAATAGTTGTGTGTGATATTTCTTATACAAAAGGAGAAAGTAAGCGGCTATAAGTTAATGCAAGCAAAATAATAATAATAATTAATGAATGAACACACATTTATCGTTAGAAATATGTGAAAATTATGTAGTGTATAACAAGTTTCTGACGTACGCTCTTGTTTGTTTACATGTAGCACACACGCACGAACGCGTATAAGCGTTGTAAACCTCAGTAGAAGAAGAATTGTAAACAGAAGCAGGGTTGTTACACTTGTAAAATGTTGCATTCCATAACAAATGTTAAGCGGGTTATTATTTATTTGTGTGGTTATTTTTTGTTTTTGTTGTGAACTGTTAAATCTTTTGCACATTGGTCTCTGTAATCTTTTAATAAATATACTACATATGTGCATATATATAGAAATGAGATAAGTAAAATATTAAACATTTAGCCACGGGTGCCCTTATCAATAGAGACAGAAAGAAATGTTTTTATAAAGCCACACTTGAATTTTGAGTGCATCATTTTGCCTATTTTATTAATTGCATAAGTTATAGTGTCTCGAAGATTTTGATAACACACTGCATTAGTTACTACTAGATGTAAAAGTAAGCTAAAATACTGTATGCGTTGCTAGTAAATCAAAGTTATTCTAAGCATTAACCAATTATGCACAATCATGTCAACATCTAAAATCACAAGCGATAAGGACTTTGTATATATAAATCGGAATTGATAATGAAGCTCTAGATCTATGACAAAATATACAGTTGTACATATGTATGTAATTTGTATAAAATGAAATCATATTATATGCTATTATGCGCACGAAGATGATATTCCACATAGCAGGCCATTAAAAATCTTGATTAAAGTCACATTAAAGTTATATCTAAAAATAATAATAAGTTTTTGAAGCACAATTCGGTGGATATGAAGTTTTTTTGGTGGAATAATTTTGATTCACAAAAGCCGTCGGCAAAACAGTTATGTGCAAAAATTTCGCTACCGCAAACTTTGGCTAATAGAAAACAACTAGCTATTTAGAAAACAACACAAAAAAGGTTATTAAACACAAACTTAAGCACATATAATTTCGGCCGAAAATCCATACCAGCCGAATTTTTTAAGGTATTAATAACAGCCAGCGCATATACACCGTTTTTCCACATGAAAAAATACACGCAAACCATTATCGTAAACTTACACAAGAGTTCATTGTGCTAATGCATTTATAATTCTACTAGGCATTTGATGATGTGCCCACCACCACCAGTAGTTGACTTCAACTGTTGCTTGTTTACCTGCCACAAAATTTGACTGCCTGCCACTCGGCCAGACACCAGACATAAATTAAGTCACAAAGTTTACTTACCATAAACCAAAGTATATCGCGCAGTCCGCTTCAAGCAATTAGCTTTTTTTTTGCATATAGATTATACAAAAATTTAACAAATTCTTCTCCTTTTAAAGAAATTGCTTCAAATTTTCGGCAAATTAGATGATTCCAAGCATAAAAACGTTTGAAATACGAGAAAACTAGGACTGTGTTTAATTAAAATTGTACGCACACTAACAAACACACACGGACAAGAACGCGTCTCTTTCATTTACAAATGCAATTACAGAAAAATAAATCACTTTACTCTTGTTCTAAATGCACCACACTATAAACGATGTATAAACAAATGCATTAACATATTGTTAGTAACGTTGCTTCTTTGCAATAAACATTTTTATTACAGTAACACTTTACATTAGGAAAAGAAAAAAAATTCAATGAAATTACAATTAGACGAAATAGCGACCAAAGATACAACGAAATGTCAACAAACGACGTCCAATGCAATAGTGCATAAAGTTGGCTGCGGTTTGTGTGGATTTCGTTTTTGACATTTCTCTGCTGTTTTACGCTTGAAGAGGCAAACCTTCATAATAAAGAGAGTGTATATCGCTGCTGTCATAACTACACTCTTATTTGCAGCCATTTGTTTTAGATGAGCATAACTATGAATCTCATTCCATCTCTTTCATCAATTTATGATGGACTAGCCTAAAAGTTAAAGACCGCCTCTTTTGGTTGTACAATAAATAGAAAATGGCCATTTATACACATGCCAAATTTTCACATATTTTTTTTTGTTTTCGGTTTTAGAAAATGTCGGCAACTGGACTTCTTAAGCTACGACTGAGTGTAGTGAAATCATTTTTTAGAACATACAAAGCTTCTGGCATTCCGGAATTGACACAGGTTGGTAAATATTCATATATGTACATATGTATGTGATATTTGGTTTACTTGTGCAGAATTAAGAAAATATGTATACATATTTTTATGAAAAACATTTAGATTAGACATTTATTGTAACCCTTTCTCAATTTGGAAAGTTCTAAATTTATTTAAAATATATGTATATATACGGTACTGGTCAAATTTAAAACTAATAAAAATATTATTTTTATATGGCCAGAACATATGCAATATTATGAAAGGGATTACATAAATTAGGAATTAATAAATATTTATATTTAATTTTTTTTTAATTTTACACGATTTGACGATCAATTTCAAATGTAAAATTAAAATAATAACAAAATATTACTTTGAACAAATTTTAAAAAGTGTTTCTGGATTCGGTCATGTTTTAACCTTTAATTCAAAAAATATTATTATTTTGTTTTTAATTATAAAAATTATAACTGTGATTAGCATTTTTTTCAACTCGCTATTTGGAATTAAATTTTTTTTAAATTTTAATTATAAACTTGGGATTAACATTTTTTAATTTTTCAATCCGGTATTTGAGATAAAAAATTTTTTTTGTGATTTTTGTGAGTAGAAATTTGAAAATGATTTTTAATTAAGATTTTTTTTTGAGTAGAAATTTGAAAATGATTTTTAATTAAGATTTTCGGGATAAACAAAAAACATAAATCAAAACAAAATTAATTTTAATGTTTATCCAATTATCT